TGACCTCCCAGTGTCAAGGAGAGAGAAAAGAAGAGAAAAAAGATCTGGGGTGAAAAGGACACTCATTCTTGCAAAAAAAAAAAAAAAAAAGACTTACGGACTAACGGTTGAGAACAAAAATGGACTAAGGACTGCGGATTTACCGTCTTTCCACTAACTACCCGTCTTTCTCCGAATACAACGTACGGTCATTATACTTGTATTTAGACTGAAAGATGCCCCAAATACATACAGCAATAATGACCGTACTTCGTGTTCGGGAGAAAAAGGTAGACGAAGAGAACGATTGAGAAAAAAACACAGACTGAGGAAGGCTGACCTAGCATCTCCTCATTTGAGTCGAAGAAAAGAGATTATTGATTATAATTATTTTGATGGCCCAGGGGTGGAGTAACGACCTACTTAGCCTAGCACTACCTTCAATGTATGTCACCGCATTTACGGCTGGAACTGGAAGAATCTGACCACATTTCCGTCCAGATATAAGTAACAAGGTCATAGTCTGAGTAATGCCCTAAGTTGAGTCCTGATTTAGCAGTAATCCAGTCTAAAACTAACCGGTTTGGGTCAGGCGAACGGATTTGACACGAATGCAGTCTAGCCCTAAACAAACAAACCAAAAAAAAAAAAAAAAAAAAAGTTTCGCTCAGAATCGCGGCACCAAGGCGAACAGGATATATCATCGAATCTTCTTCACCCACGGACATTTGTCCCACGCCCATGGGCTACGACCATCGTGATGACTTCAGGTTAGTCATAATTGATTGTAGCTGACGGAGATTCGTCGAGAATCGAGCGGTGGGCAACAAAGACGATCCTCATATCGAAGGCCTGGACAGATGAATCTTTTGGACTCTAGCCGCGAGTCTAGCGTACATGGGAGAGCGTATGCAGTCGGGACATGACTGTATAGAAAATACAGAAAGAAGGGAAAGGAGATAAGAAGAGAGGAGGACGTGGGGAAAGAAAGGGAGAGAGGGCGTCAGAAGGGAGGGAACAGAACGGCACGACAAGAGACTCAGAGGTTTTGCGAGTGTCTACGTGCTTAGAGTTCCGTCTGTTTGTTTCAATTTGAGTTAAACTTTTCTTGTGTATCTGTGTCTGCGATGTAGGCTGTCTGTGTATGCGTGTATATGTACGTATGTATGTGTGTGTGTGTGTGTGTGTGTGTG